TCCCGTCTGGATTGACGGATCGGTCACGCCTTCAGCTGTCTGTTCGTCCCCTGTAGGATGTCACTCCAGGTGTGTGAGAGCATGTGAGAGCATGTACTGTATATGTACTGTATATGTATGGCCATCCACATAAGGCGTACTGATGGGAATCAAAGTACCATCAATGACTCCAATGACTTGTGGTATATGGTAATGTGTTAAAAAATACTCCTGAATGTTTGACATGGCCTGTCTTGATGCTGGAAATTGGATGTGTTCAGCCACAAGTGGAAGCAGTGCATACAGTAGGTGACTGCTTGTACAGCTCTGGACATAGATGGTTTACTTATTCCAAGTCCATCTCCAAGTACCTGAAGAAAACTGCCTGTTGCATAATATCTCAGAGCAGCTAAGAGTTGCACATCAGGGGACAAAGCAAAATTCCTCCTTGTACTGTAGCACGCATCAGCTGAGGCCCAATGACATTGAGCAGCTGGACTATTTCTCCTCGTGGCAGATGGTATCTGTCAATGACAGCCATATCATCAAGCATATCCAGAGGATTTTGATGCTGCCTGATGAAGGCATTTATAATACATAGTGTACTCCGTGGTCGTCTCTGTCTTTCTCTTCGCCTTTCTCTTTGCCTCACTCTCAGCTGGAAAACTCGCTGTAGTGCAGCCATGATTTCCTCTGCAAGACTACTCAAGTGTGAACTTTATATACTATCCTAAAATTGCTCACAGGAACCATATGATTAAGGTTTTTCAGGCTGTGATAATATTCACGTCACATACTGATTGTCATCTATTTCACTAATTGCAGAAGGCCCCACTTGAAGAAACTGAATCACTGATTTTAGAAATTGCATTAATTACCTCTTCCCTGAATTTATTCTCTTGTTAGGTTCATAATGGTCAAGGGTTGTGCTTTTATAAATGTATATGGAAAGTGCATTTATATAAAACAGTGCTGATAAAGAATATGTACATTAAACATTTTTCTGCACCTATATGGATAGGCTAATAGATAGGCCTTAATACTATATTGCCACACATACCCTCAAGACTCAAGCTGTAGTAAAATATATACAGTAAAACCGGTCTAAGTCGACACTCGCGGGACCAGCTTAAAAGTGACGACTTAGAGAATTGACGAGATACACCTACTGTAAGTCGACACTTCGGCGACTTATGTCTATATCGTCGTTTTGCCGACTAGTAAATATAACACCATACCTCTACTACACCGCACTATACACGCAAGACTTAAGACCAGGGAGCGACTAGTGCTATAGGTGGGGATTCCCCGTTTCTACATTGCCGTGGTGACAAGCAGGCGGGAATGCAGCGATTGGGGTGTCGACTTACA